AGTAATTCAAAAAAGGCCATAGCCTGCCATCTTCCAACATTTTGACTTCTTGTCAACAAAGCCTTTTCTTTTTAGTTTTTCTGCCTCTTCGATTATTGAGTCCCTTGGGCTGCAGTAACCAAGCCTTGGGAAGTAATAGTGGCTCACCTCCTGTGCCCTATCATATTTCCCCATCACCTCCCCTCTTAATATATGCAGCACATAAACTCTTTATAATACATATTAGTATTTTCTAGTTTTGTTAAATAGCAAAAAAGTTTTCCAGGGTTCTTGGAGATGTTCAATTTTCTTTTTCTTTCTTTCTTTTTTCCATTTCCCTAATAACAAAGGTGTCTGTTTTTCATTAGCCCTTTCTGTCACTACTAAATTTGTGTAATGCAATGAGATGACTCAGGATGGGAGCTGCTAACCAGAAAAACAGCCAAACATAGTCTGGGTTGTTGACCGAACCGAAAGCAGCCACCTCTTATATTCTGTGGTGATATAATATTCTGAAAATATCAATTACATTCTAAGAGTCTGGAATGTTGGCTGTGCCTCACAGCCAACCAGAAGTCACTTTTAAGAGTGTTAGCGTCTCTTGCTTGTTCTGTTCGGTTAACCTACATTTAAGGGAACAATGTATCATTCAACCTTGCCTTGGATTTCCCATGCAGTCAGCTTTTACCGCCTGAACTAGTGCGGAGCAGCACTCTTAAGGTATGTCCCTTCCATGGATCTTTTGCTGAAAGCTGCAAATACAAAGGTGAAAGCTACTTTCTAAAATCTACTACACAAGTTGAAAATGACAGTTATGGATATTAGTTTATCTGTTATGATCAGTTGTAGCCAGTGACTTAATCCTTATAAAACTGCTAAAGATTTCTGTAAAGCAGTGGTTCTCAACCTTCCTAACACTGTGATCCTTTAATACAGTTCTTTATGTTGAGGTGACATCAACCAGCCATAATATTAGTCCATTGCTACTTCATACGTGTAATGTTGTTACTGTTGGTAACTGTAATGTAAGTAGCTGATATGCAGGCTGTCTGATATGCGACCCCCAGGAGCTTGCACCCCACAGGTTGAGAACGAATGCTCTAGAGGCCATGTGATGCTTTCTGAGCTGTTCAATAAATACAGAGCGAAGCCCTTTGTTAGAGACAGGAACCATTCACATAGCTCAAAATGATAAGTTTTAAATCCCAGGTTGCTGGATATCCGCCACTGCCAATTTCATAAGCCAATCAAGCAGAATTAATAAATCCAGCCTTAATGAACAGAGCAAAGCAATCCTGGGTGACCCCTGGAAAGGCAGGGGAAGAGTCACATGGCAAATATGGCTACCATGCCTCAGGTAACCTGTAGGTATGGTCTTGAGAAGCCCCCGGGAGGGACTGGCTTTTAGTAGGCTTTGAGGGGGTGAGGGTCTGGAACAGGAGGGTAGCTCTAGGGAAGGGGCTGCTGTTTGGCAGGCTTTGAGGGGGCAGGTTTGGGGAGAGAGAGAGGGGAGGGGAATTGAGGTGGAGCTTTCCATCAGAACACATACAACAGACAGACACACAGAGACAGAAGACGCAGGGAGAGATTGACAAGACAGCCTTCACTTAGGCACAGTTTCAAACTCATACTCATTCACACAGACAGACATGAAGACAGACAGACACATGACACAGGGAGCATGAAGTAGACAGAGAATGCAAATCTGGACTTGCTCTTGGACAACTCCAAGGGGAAATGCTTTTATTTCTTTCCTTAATGTGACACCAGTGCATTCCCAGTGACTCAGAATTATCACTAATGTGTTTAATCCGAAGGGTATTCTACTTAGTTTCTTCTCCAAGTTTAGTAATTCCAGCCTCAATGAAGGGGCAGGGGGGGCAGTAGGATGAGCTGCAGCGGACATTAGCAGGCCCCCAGACCTTAACAGGACTGACTCCATGATGGAGGTACCGTTCAGGATGTAACACTCAGCTGGTAGATGGCACCACCTGCCAAGATGAAAACAAGGACCTATTCCCTCAATGTCCCTAGTTCTGGGAAAGTCTCTAAATATATTTTCCTTGTTTTTTGGCTTCTGTAGTTCTGCTTCTGGCTAACCGAAACAAGCCCAGCCTGTATATATTTTTGTGACTAAAAGCTCACCCTGAGGAAGGCTCGGTGCTAGAGTGGGATCCTGAACACCCGGCGTGATTGCCAGCTAGCTAATAAAGACTTTCTGTTGGCTTGACCTGCGTCAGGATAATCTTCTCTGGTGGGTATGCCACAACAGAGCTTTCTAAATTGTGGTCATATATCTTATTTAGGACTTTTAATAATCTGCTAAACTCAGAGACCCTCTCTGTCTAAAGGCTATGAATGTAAGGATTTCCCCGTTCTGTGGGCAGGCCTGGTCTGCCGCGATGTTGATAAGGGACCTCTTTGCCTGATACCCATCTCAGTACATCTCTCTTCCCAGCCTGGAGAGAATTTTTAATGTTTAGAACAGTGACCTGAATCCTTTATGATGAGAGTGTAACAAAACTCCAGCACTTTCCCTCCATTGCCTGAGTCAGCTGAGAAATTATTAAGCCTGAAAAGTTATGACCTCTGAACTTGGTGCTGGGTATTCAGGAGAAATATGAGTGGCTTAGGAATCCACTTGCACATGTTACCTGATGGGAAGTCAATTTTGTCGAACGCTATGTACCTATTTTTGAGGCCGTCTCCCTGTTTCCAGGTGACTTGCCCCAGAACAAAACTCCAATACAGCTGTTGGCATCAGTAGTTACAAGGAAATTTGTGGACACTGTTAAAAATTAGGCCAACAAATCAGGAAAATTAGAAAAACTGAAAAATACTTACAAAACAAAGTCCAAAGGGTGCATCTAAAATGACTTCCAGGGCCTTGGTCGTGACTGGGACTGTGAGGAAATACAAGGCAGACAGACACATGGATAGAAAGCCGAGACTGGATGAACTGGTGTCAGGGCTGCAGAAACCACAGCACCCCCAAGTGCAGCGTTTCTTATATAGAGTTGAACAGGAGGCAGGTTTGTTGCACACAGCTGGACAAGGAAGTGGGATTATTACAGACAAACAAGAAGTCAGTGTTGATGGCATACAGCTTCATCAAGGAGACAGGTTTGACTAATATCTGTAGGAGCAGTCTAGATGGGAGCAGACTTCCGGCCTTGATATTGAGGGAGGGGAGTTAGGCATTTTCAGCACCCACTATCAGCATCCACACACGTACCATGAGAGCAGGTTTTGCCATGCCTCTGAGCCTCATCCTGGTGTGGGGAGCTTTTCCATTCCTTCGTGGCTCTAAGATTCTAGGGTCTGTGACCTGGCCATCCCATGTTAACAATACGAATTCCCTTAGGACTTCATTTATTCCAAGCTTCCTCTGCTCCCTATACACCAAGGAGTTTCCTCGTGAGCCATGGTAGAGTGCTCAGTATTTACTAAGTTTGTTTATTGGTAAATCCTTTATAGCACTAACTTGTTACTCTTAGTTTCTCCCACTTCAATGGAAATACTCTTTTTTTCATACATTTAATATTCCTTACATATATATCGAGGAACTTGGTAAATGCCACTCCAAATTTTGCCTTTTGCAGGACAAACTAAGGGCATTTTGGAATCAAATTCATGGATATGCTTGATCTGATTTTCCATTAAATTACCAAAGACAAGCCACCCAGAAGCAACTGCATCATCCTGAGTAATCTCTGCAAGAACGAAGTCCTGATTAGGGTGTAATTTGTGTTCCACTAGTTTGCCTGTTTCCTTCCTCCACCAAGAAGGAGTATAAAGTTACAGATCTCTCTGAAGATTATTCGTTTTTCTTCGTGTAATAAATGTATACACTTTTCTCTTGTTAATCCATCTCATTGACTTAATCTTGGAACAAAGAGAGTAGGTATCATAAAGCATTATATTGGCAAATTGCCATATGATGTTTGAGTTCACTGAAAAGCTGTCTGAGAGTTGTATCGTCCAACTGGTTGTGACCCAAGTATGATTATGTTAACGTCGCTGGAATCTTTGAGTGGTTGGTAACACACGCCTTTAATCCCAGCACTAGGGAGGCAGAAGCAGGCAGATCTCTGAATTCGAGGCCAGCCTGGTCTACAGAGACATTTCTGGGACAGCTAGGCTACACAGAAACCCTGTCTCGAATTGCCCCCCCCACCCCCCTCTTACAAGGCCCCTTGTGTAAGAATTAGCTCCCTCCCCTAATGTTGTTACTGGGAAGGAATAGAAAACAGCCCAAGCATAAGATCATTTTGTCCGTAAAAGGTGAACAGCTTCTTACTTTTGTTTATCCCATGATGAAAAAGTGCTCTCAGGGACAAAACCAAAACTATCTGGGCAATGGTGGTGCACACCTTTAATCCTAGAATTTGGGAAGCAGAGGCAGGCGGATCTGAGAGTTCGAGACCAGCCTGGTCTACAGAGAAAGTTCCAGGACAGCCAGGACTACACAGAAATACTGTCTTAAAAAAATAAATAAAATAAAAAGCTAGTGCTTCAGTTATGGGAAGCCCGGCAGTGGAGGGGAAAGCCCACTAGCAAACTCCAGCTGACTGCAACTTCCCAGCTGGTTCCAGCTTTATGTTGTGAGCAACAGATTTGACCCATGAAATCCAGCTGACCGCCTCAACAATGCTTCCTCAGTTGATTGTTGCTGGAGGCTTTCAGATCCCATTTGATGAGGTTTTACCTACTGCTTCTCTCACTATTATTTATTTATTTGCTTTTGACTTGCTATATACTTAATAAACTGACTCATTCAAAACTGAAATTAAAATCATCATAGACCAGTCTCTAGACTGTAATGAATATCAGAGGCAGTTTATCCTCTCATGAGGATTCAGGCTGAAATTCTACCTCTAAATGATATCTGGTCTTGGTGACCATGCCTACAGCATGTAGCAGGCCGAGGAAGGAGGACTGTTGTGAGTTCCAAGCAAGTCTGGCTACAAAGCAAACTCTCAATCTTTAAAAAGGAAAAAAAAAAAAAAAAAGTAAGCAAATCAATGAGAGAAAATTTATTGAAATTGTACAGAATTTGAGGTATTATTATTTTGAAGAATAGTTAGCTCATAGCTCAGTCTTTGCATTCACACAAGACAGGATGCAAGTTGTAACTTCAGTGCAGTCCATTCTCATTTAATTTCCTCAACTTTAAAAGAAGGAAGACAATAGAATTTGTTCCACAGGATACTATAGAGATTAGAGACAATGAACAAAATGGTTAGACAGGCATATTAAGATCTTATTACACAATAGCTAAAATTCATTCTGAGCATCTGTGTACTAATATTTCATTGATGTTTGTGCTACTTTAGTTTTCATCTATTTGACAGAAGCTGGAGTCATATGATGGAAGAGGGACCCTCAGTTAAAAAAATACCTTAATCAGATTGACCTATAGATAATTCTGTAGGACATTTTCTCAATTAATGAGTGATGTGGTCGAGCCAAGCTTACAGGAAACCCCTGGGTAGGGTGGTCCTGGGAGGTAGGACAAAAACATCTGTATGAGTCTGGTTTCTGCCTCTGCTACTGTTTGAGTTCCCGTCCTGACTTTCTTCAGTGATGGACTAAATCAGGAAGTACTTGTAAGCCAAATAAAGCCTTTCCTTCTCAAGGTGCTTTTGGTCATGGTGTTTACAACAGCAACATAAACTAGGATGCTATTCAATTACTTACATTATATGACTAATCACCATTCTATTGCACATACTCGCCTGAGAGGACTTCGAAATAACTTTCATTTTCTTGAAATCCCTATTATACTTGAATGAACTTTTTTTTTTAACCTTGCCTAGTATTTTATGATTAAGAAACAAACAAAGAAAAACCCTGCAACTAGAATCCCAAAACTAATATAAAAATGGAAATCACATTAAGACCCATTGAAGTTGTTTCTCTAAATTCCATTTTGAAATATCAACATCACACCAATAAATTCTTGTATAGTTAAAAATAAGTCACAGCAAGCAATGGTACAACAGAAGACAATATTAAAATCAATATGCAACCCAAGATTACCTGGCAACCCCATAGGAAAAAACTGGGGGTTGTACAGCCAAACCTGGTTGGACCCGTTTATAATCCCAGCTACCCAAGTTGGGGAAAGAATATGCAAAATTTGAGGCAAATTCAGGTGGTTAGGGCGAAATAACAGTCAGGCAGTTGAGAACTGCTGTTCAGAAAACTAAATGAAATCTCCAATTGAGACTTGTTAATGTGACTTCCCAAAGACAGAAGGGACCAAAACCGCTAGAAATGGAACAGCTGACGGGCACTTAATTCCTAGCGGGGATAGACTCACTTGAAGAGTCTGCATAGCTTTGGAGCGTTCTAAGCTTGTAATTAAAACAGAAAAAAAGGACCATGAATGTTTGTGGTGTAAAAGCCCTTCCGAAAGAACTGTTGGGTGGCTCTGAAAAGAGCCTTTGGTTTAACCAGAGTGCTATCTGCGCGCTCACTTGGAGCTGGTGTACTTGGTGACGGCCTTGGTGCCCTCGGACACGGCGTGCTTGGCCAGCTCCCCGGGCAGCAGCAGGCGCACGGCCGTCTGGATCTCCCGGGACGTGATGGTCGAGCGCTTGTTGTAGTGCGCCAGGCGCGACGCCTCGCCCGCGATGCGCTCGAAGATGTCGTTGACGAACGAGTTCATGATGCCCATGGCCTTGGACGAGATGCCCGTGTCGGGGTGCACCTGCTTCAGCACCTTGTACACGTACACCGAGTAGCTCTCCTTGCGGCTGCGCTTGCGCTTCTTGCCGTCCTTCTTCTGGGCCTTGGTCACGGCCTTCTTGGAGCCCTTCTTCGGGGCGGGAGCGGACTTAGTTGGCTCCGGCATTGTATCTGTTGCGAAGCAACTCAACAAAGCAGGTTGTCAAGGTACAGGATGCAGGCGAACGCTGTGCTTATATAGCTTTCTGTATGCAAATAGAGTGAAAAATTGGACGCATCATTATTGGTCATTTAGAAGTTAGTTTTACCCAATCAGAATGCAGATTTTCCAATCCTGTGCTTCGATTGGTTAACATGAAACTAGAGTCTTAACCAATGCCACGTCTTCTTTTTTAGCGCCCCTAAATGAACTGCTCTTCCACTGTATTAGGTAAGACATCATACACATCGTTTTTTTATGTGATGCCTGGACGCGGCAAGCAGGGCGGCAAGGTTCGCGCCAAGGCCAAGACCCGCTCGTCCCGGGCCGGCCTGCAGTTCCCCGTGGGCCGCGTGCACCGGCTGCTCCGCAAGGGCAACTACTCGGAGCGGGTGGGCGCCGGCGCCCCGGTCTACCTGGCGGCCGTGCTGGAGTACCTGACGGCCGAGATCCTGGAGCTGGCTGGCAACGCGGCCCGCGACAACAAGAAGACGCGCATCATCCCGCGCCACCTGCAGCTGGCCATCCGCAACGACGAGGAGCTCAACAAGCTGCTGGGCCGCGTCACCATCGCGCAGGGCGGCGTCCTGCCCAACATCCAGGCGGTGCTGCTGCCCAAGAAGACCGAGAGCCACCACAAGGCCCAGTGAGCAGTGTAGTTTTCAAGAGTTCTTAGAAAAAAAGACTTTTCAGAACTCCGTTCTTTACTCAAAAAAAAAAAAAAAAAAAAAAACGCTTTGATTTGTGATTAACTCATTTTTGGAACAGTTTCAAGATGAGCTTTACTTTCATTTTGTTCCATTGAGTTATTGTCTAGAAGCCCCCGCCCAACCTGACTTCCTGGTTTCCGGTGATCACTTTGAGATTGTAGGCTTACCTGACCAGTGCCTTACTCAGATTAGCTCTCTTGCTCCTCAAGCGATGCCAGATTGAACACGGATTAGACTTCCTGTGGAGTACTGTGTCGTACCAGTCTCGAGGTCCTGCAAGGTAGAACTCTGCCAAAGGTGGCCTCGGCACTGTTTTGCTCTTTACTGCTTTTTATTCCTGGAGCATCACATCTAAGTAACAGTTTTCTGCAGTCTTCATTTTTGTTCGAGTAAAATTCAGCTAATGGCCCAGTATAGAGCCAGGAAGCCTTAAACAGTTGCACTGAACACTTGAATTCAATCCCATGAGCCCTCGTGGAAGGAGAAAATCAACCCCTGCAGGTTGTCCTCTGGCTTTCACATATGCATACCCCACCCGTACAATAGTAATTAAGAATAGGTATGTATTTTTAAAGGAAGTAAGCAATATTAGCTTAGCTCTGTTTTTGACTTAACCCCTGATTACCTCTGCCTCTGTTTATGACTCAGCCTGGAAATAAAATGGAACTGGAGTTACAGGTAGGGAGAGGTTGGATGAAGATCTATTAACATGTCCTTTGGGAAACACAACTTATATTTTCTGTAGTGATACAGTATCCGTGTATATGATTGTGCTGCTGTGACACCAAAATGAAATTTCACAAGCCAGGTATGGAGTGGCTCACACCTGTAAGTAACATCATGCTGTTTGAGGCAGTGGGATTGCTGAGTTTGAAGAAGCCAAAGGCTGACGAAGTAGGATTGCTATTTGAGGTGGGTCTATAGATTAATACAAATTTAGAAAGTAATGTTTCTAGCTTTATTTTCCTGTTATGAATATTTGTAGTTAACCATTGTACCTTACGGTCTTATGTTACTGTTAGGAACATTACTGTGCATGGGTGACTCACATCTCGAATCCCAGTATTCAGGAGGCAGAAACAGGCAGATCTCTGTGAATTCTAGGTCAGCCAGGGCTATACAGTGAGACACCCCCCCCCCCATCGCAAATAAGAAAAAGAAAAAATTGCTGTAAGCAATGAGTTAAGTGTTTACTTTATATACTGACCACCTACACACACACACACACACACACACACACACACACACACACACACACACACACAACGATGGCCAGGGATGGTTCCTAAATGAGACTGCAGTAGTAACAATGATGTTGAATGTTGTCATCCCAACCCCAAAAGTACTAACAAGCAGACAACCTGTGTTCAGGAAAATTTTAATTTCTTCTGAAAAGCTAAAGGCCATTTGGAGAACAGTGGGGTCAACTACCCTTGATGTTGCCCATATTAGCATATAGGAAATCTGGATGTTGGAAAGGAAATTTATATTTATATTATGTAACAGTGATGCTATCTCAGGAAGTTCAAGCACAATAACTTATTTTACCTCCTTAAATTCGAATTATTCTTTCAGAGACAGTTCATTTCACCCTTGGATGCCACGAGTATAGTGTCTGAGCTACAGAAACAACCTAGTGAGGAGAAACACAAAAGTGAGTCAGTAACCTAAGAGGGGTGAAGAAGAAGGGTACAGTCTTGGGGGACAGGGAGCATGGTGGTTTGAAAGAATAAAACCTATGGAAGGTAGCTTCTGCTCTGGAGATTAAGGGGAACTATTATCAAAGGGTCGTACGGGGACCCTGCAGAGGATGCCCACAAGCACGGTTCGTGGTAGATATGAAGTAGGCAAATTAGAAAGTTTGATGTTGACAATAAAGCAAAAGCTACAAGAGATAGCCCTCTCCTTTAGTTTTAAATATTTCTGATATACTACTGAATTCCAGTCTTGATGTCTGTCTGGGACGTACCCCCTCTATGTGACCCCTGGCCTGATGTCAAGATTTCTTGTATGAAAACAAAAAAGAAAAAAGAAAGAAAAGAAAAGGCCGGGCGTGGTGTCGCACGCCTTTAATCCCAGCACTTGGGAGGCAGAGCCAGGCTGATCTCTGTGAGTTCAAGGCCATCCTGGTCTACAGAGTGAGTTCCAGGACAGGCTCCAAAGCTACACAGGGAAACCCTGTCTCAAAAAAACAAACAAAAAAAAAAAAAGAAAAAGAAAAAGAAAAGCAAAAATAAATGTGTCCTAGATCCATCACTCAGCAATTCAACTATTTACTGATCCTTGTCTTAATAAATAACATTAATGTCTACCTACTAGGACATGCCAAAAGAATGTGGCATCTGTCACCTAGTATTCATTTTTATATGCCATTACTAAAGCAAAACCAAGTTCTTATATGGGAGATGAGGTGTGCTAGGATTTATAAAGTTTATTTAGAGGATGACCTGACCATACTGTGATAGCCAGCATATGGAATATTGTCAGAAACAGAATATTCATGTACATGTATCTGATCACTGCTGCTAAAAAAACATTTCGTGTAATTCTAACTGAAAGGCTAAAATTGTGAGATGCATACCAAGTATTGATCAGTGCAAACTTGAAAAAACAAAACCAAAGCCTGTGTGAGTCCTCTTAGAGTTTGAAAGAGAGCTTCGTGTTGCTCTGTGGAAGGAAAGAATGTACTGCTTACTGTACAGTCAACGGTTAGCTTAGCCTGGATCCAAAGATAAACTCTCCATCTGCCTTAGGCCCCACAGGCCCTTCCTCTCAAAATATCCCTCTTCCTTTCCAGAGGTCACCTCCTTGGAGAGGGACTTTATTTTGCTTTAGGAATTCATGCCAACACAAAGCACAATGATAATATCAAACTTAAAATTTTTATTTTGTGTTTGTGTGTGGTGTGTATGGTAATGTGTGCATGTAGTGCAGGTGGCCTGATCACTTCCTGCCTTATACTTCAGTTGAGGTTCCCTCTTCTGACCCAGAGCGGAGGGGCTCAGTAGTCAAGTTAGCCAACTTATCTCTGCCTCCTTTGTGGAGTTACAGGTGGGCCTGTGATTGCTAGGGACCAGAACTCTTCACTCTGGCACAAGTGCTTTTGTTCAATAAGCCCACTGACAAGTTGAGACAGGATTGTTACATAGGCCACTTGACCGGGAAAAGCTGAATGCTTTGCTAAAAAGAAAAATGAATGTTAGACAGACAGATGGACACTTAAACTCAGGGATGGCCTTCATAAGCCACAGGAAGCTGGTTCTGGTGCTCTGGCTCATCGTGGCTTTCGCATCTTCCACACGGTTTTCTTCCTGTTTCTCCATCCACTTACTCATTTATCCGAGGATCCTGAACACATTATCAGGAGTACACAAACTAACCCAAATGCCCTTCATGGGCCTGGAGAGATGGCTGAGTGATGAAGAGGCCTGTAGCTCTTCCAGAAAGACCTCAGATCTCTAGCTGCACATGGTGGCTCATGTAAGGGTCCAAGGAGATGCTGAAGGAGACCCCAGACTCAAATAGTACTTAAATGTTCCAGCATGTGTGGGGTCGTTGGCCTGTAAAAAATGGCGACGCCCCCAAGAGGATCATGGAGGCTCCTTGTAAGCACAACTAAGGGGTGTTCCAGGAAGTCAGGTCATCTCACCTATAATTGGTTAAACAAGCAGGGGTTACATTAGTGTACTTTTAATGGCCTGAAATTTAGTCTTATTTCCGGACATATCTGCACAAGTTTGAGCAACTTCTGACGTGACTCAGAAAGGGGCTGCTGGATTTGTTCTTGAGGGATGGTGAGGCTGACCTGACCTAGTCCTGTGCTTGTTTTCTCCTCTCCCAAGAGGAAGGCTCTTCGTGGAAGAGACATCTGTTTTGCCTTTCTCAGAGAACTGGAACCTAAACTCGGTTGTGAGTGGGAGTTTAACCCCTTCGCTCACAGCCCTCTAGAACTCCAGTCGCAGGCGACACAACGCCCTATTTTGGCCTGAGAGCACCAGATACAAGTGGTGCAGATGTGCAAAGATTAAACACCCAAACACTTTTAAAGCACATCTATCTCTACTTGCTAATTTCTAGCATGAAAACGGGAGACAACGCTTTAAGCTTCACGCATACCTAAAATGAAAATGGCTTTGGAGTCAGTCTATGGCTTCAACGGCTGCTCAAGCAATTAGAAAACAGTCCTGTAAGGACTTAGGCTACAAATTTATGACCAAATGCTTAGGCACACTAGACCCAACACTAATGACCTCCAACACATACCTGAGCAGGTTAAACAGTATTTTGCGAGTTTGCCAAGAGGAAAAAAAAAACTAACCGCCCACCTGGCACCTATTAAGGTACACATGCCTCACCAAAACTTGGGTAGCAAGAAACTAGTAAGAATGGGAGCTGGTGTTGTCCCAACCAAGAGAATTCCAAAATGCCAAAACAGTTCTTTCAGTGCAGATATGGGTGGCTCTGAAAAGAGCCTTTGAAAAAGCTGTGGCGACCAACTCAAGCCCTCTCCCCGCGGATGCGGCGGGCCAGCTGGATGTCCTTGGGCATGATGGTGACCCGCTTGGCGTGGATGGCGCACAGGTTGGTGTCCTCGAACAGACCCACCAGGTAGGCCTCGCAGGCCTCCTGCAGCGCCATCACGGCCGAGCTCTGGAAGCGCAGGTCGGTCTTGAAGTCCTGCGCGATCTCGCGCACCAGGCGCTGGAACGGCAGCTTGCGGATCAGCAGCTCGGTCGACTTCTGGTAGCGCCGGATCTCGCGCAGCGCCACGGTGCCGGGCCGGTAGCGGTGCGGCTTCTTCACGCCGCCGGTGGCCGGGGCGCTCTTGCGGGCGGCCTTGGTGGCCAGCTGCTTGCGCGGGGCCTTGCCGCCGGTGGACTTGCGAGCCGTCTGCTTGGTACGAGCCATTACTGCTCCAACTTCAGCTTACAAGAAGTCTGAGCACACAGGTCCCGCGACCAAAATTTATACAGACGAACGGATTCTGATTGGTCAAAATGGCTGCAAGAACAACTCAATTGGCTGTTGAGTCCTTTTGTTTTCTGCAGTCTGATGAATGGTTTGCTTTTTGAGCGATAGTGTGGAATTCCCCTAAAGACAATTCGACCGCGTAGTAGTGGAAAGTCAATGTCATTTTGTCTTAAAGCATTTTTTACAGCATTCTGTTTCAGATTATATGAAAAGGTAATGTGTTATGTAGTGACTTAAAAACGGCTTTAAATGATTAACACATTGGCCCCTGCAATTTGTGAATTTTAATTTGCACAGAGCGGAGGTGGAAAGGGGGAATGGACACGTGCTTAGCTATGATACCACATGATGATTTTACTTCCTTAGCTGGTTTTGGTGTTGGCAAATGGCGGCTGACTTTTGTCAGTCATGCTCATAATCAGCGTTCAAGTGAGGAGTGTACATAGTTATTAGTTTCTCAATATATATGCAGTTGTCTTGGGTTGAAATTAACATTTAAATGGTCAAAGTAACAGTCTTAACATCTATAAAACATTCAACCTTTAGTTAGCACACCCACAGAAGTTAACCAATTTGACTCAATGTAGAGGCAACATAGTTTCAGTGGTTTGAGCAAACGGTGGGGCAACATGGGACAAATCTCATAATGCACCTAAAAGCCAGTCAGTGTTCAGTTCTTTTGGAGAAAGGGTGGGTGGCTCTGAAAAGAGCCTTTGGCTTAGCTAGAAGTTTCTTGTTTCCAATGACTTATTTCCCCTTGGCCTTGTGGTGGCTCTCGGTCTTCTTGGGCAGCAGCACCGCCTGGATGTTGGGCAGGACGCCGCCCTGCGCGATGGTGACGCGGCCCAGCAGCTTGTTGAGCTCCTCGTCGTTGCGGATGGCCAGCTGCAGGTGGCGCGGGATGATGCGCGTCTTCTTGTTGTCGCGGGCCGCGTTGCCAGCCAGCTCCAGGATCTCGGCCGTCAGGTACTCCAGCACGGCCGCCAGGTAGACCGGGGCGCCGGCGCCCACCCGCTCCGAGTAGTTGCCCTTGCGGAGCAGCCGGTGCACGCGGCCCACGGGGAACTGCAGGCCGGCCCGGGACGAGCGGGTCTTGGCCTTGGCGCGAGCCTTGCCGCCCTGCTTGCCGCGTCCAGACATGGTAGAAAACTGGCTGTTACTAACTGCTCAGAAAGTAACGAAAAAGCTACACTGGCCCTGTTTATAGTCGACGCAGGGCGCGAAAACGGAGCGATTTCATTGGTTACATATAGCAGTTTCACCTAAACCAATGGCACCGTGGTTTTGAAAAATCCTTGCTTTGATTGGGCAGTTAGTGAGTGACGTTTGCTAGTAGCGATCAGCATAGCCACAAGTCTCTTTAAAAAGCAGCCAGGGCACACTACGTCCTGACTCTTAGTTGCTTTTCTGTCTGTTGTGTTTTCTTTTGTTTCTTGCCATGCCTGATCCCGCCAAGTCCGCTCCCGCCCCGAAGAAGGGCTCCAAGAAGGCCGTGACCAAGGCGCAGAAGAAGGACGGCAAGAAGCGCAAGCGCAGCCGCAAGGAGAGCTACTCGGTGTACGTGTACAAGGTGCTGAAGCAGGTGCACCCCGACACGGGCATCTCGTCCAAGGCCATGGGCATCATGAACTCGTTCGTCAACGACATCTTCGAGCGCATCGCGGGCGAGGCGTCGCGCCTGGCGCACTACAACAAGCGCTCGACCATCACGTCCCGGGAGATCCAGACGGCCGTGCGCCTGCTGCTGCCCGGGGAGCTGGCCAAGCACGCCGTGTCCGAGGGCACCAAGGCCGTCACCAAGTACACCAGCTCCAAGTGAGCGGCGGACCTCACCGTAACCCAAAGGCTCTTTTCAGAGCCACCCACAGTTTCGTATGAAGTTGCTGTTAACATCTGTTAATCTTAGCAAGTTAGTCTTGTTATATATTCCCACTCATCCTCTAAAGCTTTATTTACCCTTTAGCCATCCAAGTTCCCCCTTTCCAGGATAATAGGAATATTTGAATAGATTGGGGTCGACTTTTATTTTGTCAGCTCTATGCTGACAGGGTAATCAATCTGATTAGAGGAGATGGGCAGTTTAGGTACCCTCTCCTATTGCTAGAGGTCTTGGTTGTGGATTTCTGGGATCTTCCCTGGCACCAGATTTGTTCCTAACCCCCAAGTACACTTCCCCCACCAAGACTTCTCTTCCAGTACTCCCTCCATCTTGCCCCCAACCCACCCAACCCCATCTGGTTCCCATCATATCCCCACCCCACACCGTTTAACGAAAGGAGATCTCTTCTATTCCCCCTTCCCAGGGAAATTCATCACTCTGGGCTCTCCTTGTTACCTAGCCTCTCTGGGGCTGTGGCTCATAGCCTGGTTGTCCTTTATTTTACACCTAAAATAACCACTTATGAGTGAGTACATATCATGTTTGTCTTTCTGGGTCTGTATTACCCACTCAGAATTTTTTTCTAGTTCCATCCATTTTGCCTGCAAATTTCATGATATAAAAAAAAAATCATTCTTTTCTACTTATATTACCTTTGTTCTGTTTTTATTTGTTTATTCTTAACTGGCAAGGAAAAGTTTTATACATTAGTTGGAACACAATGTGATGTTTTGATATGTGTATACAATGCCGATAACTAAATAAAGGAAGTTCCGATACCAGTCGCCTGCTTACCTCTGTGTCTCGTGATACACTCTCTTCTACCTGTTTTTCCTCAATCTTGTCTCTAAAATTCCCTCCCTTTTCTCTAGTGGTTTTTCCCTTCTCTTCTGTCTTACAAGAAGTAAAAGGGATGAGGGTAAAGGTAACAAGAATCAGCCGGAGGACTGATTCCTAGTATAGAACCCTTGGCAAATGAACTTCCTAAGGTTTTTTTTTTTTTTTTTTAATCTCTCTTCTCACCCTTTCTCTCTTTCTCTTCTCCAGGCAAGGATCTCCAGTTGCTTTTAAAATGTCTGTCTAGTGAACCTATGACCTTTTTTCTTTATCTCCACTCTTGTTTGAGAACCAGAGAGAACTGTTTCTTTCTGACTTTAAGGAAATCAACAATTAAGACTTGAAGCAGAAAAAAAGGTGTCAGTTTGTATTCCAGAAGGCAGCATGTATTTTAGGAAGAAAACCATCAGTACCAGCCTTAGGTCTTATTATATTTGTATTTTCCCCTCTACAAGGTCTCCAGATGCTGCCCAGCCACTCCATTGGCTGAAGTCATCCTCTATGCCTGAGCACCTACAACGAGAGGCAACACTTCAACATTTCAGTCATTACTTCTGTGTCACAACCTCTGAACTCTGCCCTGTAAAATTCTTCATGGGAAGTAGCAGTTGCTGGGTCAGGTCCATTTCACGACGCCCAGCTACAGCACAGGTCCTCTGTGTGCAGGATTTAGAAGGGCTGGTGCTTCCAAGGCCTCATGCTGGAGAGTCCACTGGTTACCGGGAGATAAACGCAGCCAGGCCTGACACCGGAAACTTGGCTTGGAACAGTATCAGTGATTCTTCACAAAAGAGATAAGAGTTGTCAGAGCAAATTGCCAAAGACTTGGAGGTGGACAAAGACAATTCCAGGGGATCTTATGCCCTTTCAGGGGCTAACCTAACTATAGTAATGGGGGTCTTCGGCGGCCTTTGATGGTCAGGATATCTTACAACTCAATAGAGACAGACCGTAACTGGTAAGATGCCAGTTTTTTTTTTTTCCAGATGTTGACTGTGGCAAGAAGGTGAGGCTGATATGTGGGTCTCAGTCCCCCTCTCCTTCTCCAGACCTCATCAGTGACACTCAGTTCTCTCCCAGGAGACTGTTGCCCCTCACAGTTTCTAGTCCTGTCTAGGAAATTCTGAGGTTGGGGAATCTCCATACTCAATGTCCAGAGCTCTAAAGTGTGTAAATGATTTGAAGAATGGGAGGCGGTAGCACTGCCCACCACACTGCACTGCCTTCTGTGTCATTTTCTGGAGCGTCTACTCCTCCAGCTGCCTTCTGTCTGAGTTAGAAGTGACCTCAAAGGCTCTTCCATCAGAAACAGCCTGTTTCTAAAAATGCCTCACTCACAAATGTGAACGCGAAAAGAGTTGTTTCAGCCTTGGGAAAGGGATTTGTTGTACAAAGAAAATGTGCTTCCCTTGAAAGCAACCTTCCCATAGGTGCTCTCTCAAAATGACTCTGTGTTGTTTGTTGAAACAAGGTGTCATATAGGCCAGCTGTCCTTGAACTGGCTGTGTAGCCAAGGACAGCTCTGAACTCTTGATTCTTCTGCCTCTAGGTCCTATGCTGGATCAAAAGTACCTCCATACAGCTGTTCTCTTGATTTTATACTTGCTGTGTTGAAGTAGAAGAGACTCAAAGTAATGGGATTCGTGTTATAAATGATTCGTTAATAGATTTGCTTGGGAGACATAAAATCACACAAAGCAGAATTGGCTAAGGGGCACCGACTCTCAGAATAAGTAGTATGCTGAACCAGGCCTGTTAGAGATGAGCAAAACGTACGGTGCTAGGATGTAAATGTTTGTTCACTAGAACTGACCAGCCGTTAAGCCCATTCCCCCAAAGAACATGCCTCTAACAGGCATCACAACCTGAATCACCGAGTTCTGGCCTGCCTTGTGGAGAAGTCTAATTCTACAAGGTGGGCAAGATGGACCTGGATGACAGCTACGTGGAAAAGAACAATACTGGTGTGCTACAGAAATAGTTCCGGCATTATCTTTGCTGTGTGAATCTCCCACTTGCAGCCTCCGGTCTTTTTAAATTGTTCAAATTGTAACCTGGGCTGGACCTTAAAATGTCATTTAAGGATGATAGTGTTGTAGAATGCATAAACCTAAAGTGGACGGACGTTGGGAAAATCTTCTGTTCTACGCCATTTGCTAAGAGCCAGACAAGCCGTTACCCTTCGTCTCTGTGCAGAGTGCTTTCTTATTATAAGGACATGCTCTTTCTGTAACAGTACTAGTTACTTTTCGACATCGCTAGGACCAAATACATACCCAACCACTACCAACAGCAACTTAAGAGAGGAAAGGTTGGCTGTGGCATACAGGTCTAAGGGGTCAAGTCAGAGAAGTCATTGTGGTAGACACTTGAGGAGGGACTGGTCCACGGGTATACGTAGCCAGGAAGCTCAGCTCACTTCTCCTTTGTACTCAGTCCAGGACCCCAGTTCATGGAATGGAACTACCCGTGTTTAAGGTGGGTCTTCCAATCTCAATTAATCTAATCTAGATAGCTCCCTGCAGATGTGACCAGGGACTGCCATCCTCCATGACTCAAGATCCTATTACCTTGACAATAATAACCACCATATTTGCTAATAGAAAATTCCATACAGAAGGCAAGTTCATGCTTGTAAGTAATTAGGAGTTAAATTGAATTCACCAATTAAGAAAAAACAAGTTCTGTAAATGCCTATCACAATAGCCACGAACAAACAAAATTTATTTAATAGGGCCCAGAACAGAAATCATATTTGATTTCTCTACAACTGTTTTAGATAAACTGAGTGTGTGTTCAGATATCTGTGAGGTTGAAAACTGAGAACTGGAGTGGATAATATAACTGCAATGGTTTTGGAGAATATTTCCATTTTATGAGTCTCATCTATCTATCTATCTATCTATCTATCTATCTATCTATCTATCTATCTATCTATCTCTTTCTCCCTCAAAATTCCCTCTCCTCCTCCTCCTTCTCTCCCTCCTTTAAATATAAGAGACCTATAGTCCATGTGTTATGATGTGAAATAAATAGATCAATGCCATTTGACGTTTTTGTAATCTTTGAAGAACAATGTTAAATTCTGGTGCACGATGAACTAGATATCACCGGGCCGGGCTCAAGGTACAGCGGAAACTACAGAGCAGAAACAGATTAACCCCGGTCCTAGAAAACGAGCTTCCCACACTGCCAAGGGGTTAAAGAAAGCACACCATACTGAGCGGGTGGCAGTAATAAGTGGCAAGGAGGAAAACGGAGCAGGAGCAAACGGCTACTCGTTGTCACTTTCGCTGACACTCTAAATCCGGGTTATAAGTAGCAGCTCCTCTGAACTGGGCATTTGTATTATGCAATCTGGTGGCGTATAGACGTGTTATTTTGGACGCTGGGTTTAATATCACCGTTCTGAGATACCATCTCCCAGTTATATGAAACCGCGTTTTTTGA